GGTTTTTGGTGCAATACTGTTTATTTTAATGGCCACAGAAGGGGAAAACATTGTGTCTGATGTTTTCAGGATGTCAGACAAGTCCCTTTCTGCCGGAATGGTTTCAGACACCTGATGTTAGTTCAGATGGGTCTCCTTGTTTTCTTATCAGTGCAGAAACGATACTTGACTGTATGCTGTTTCTGCTTGAAACATGGGGTAAGGGAAAGGGCCTCCTTAGATTTTCAAATTCATATCAATCTACCACGAGTCAAATGGTTCCTTTCTTAATTCCAGGAAAGCTACCTCAATGCAAAGCCCTTCCTGACTTTTAGGTGTTCGGAGGAGCAGTACTTCCACCTAGAGCCTATTTTCTTGTGAGCTGTCTTCAGATGCATTTTTCTTTGGACGTTAACTGTTTATGCTGCAAAGTCGTTGATTGAGTTTCTGTTCTTGGTGATTTGCAAGCCATCTGGCCTGAGTTGCACACTGGATGTCTAAGTCCACCTTTAAGCCTGGCTTCTTTTATGTTAACTAGTGTTTGTGTGTGCTGGATGGAAGCCCTTATTGTCAGCCCTGTGGAGGAAACTATTTGGATAAAATGTTTGAGGTGTAGTAGTAAAAACCTTTGAAATCCTTCAGCATGAAGAGCATATTCCAAGTTAAGGTGCTGTAGAAAGAATGAGAAAATCAGCCTTGGTGATAAGGTTAATAAGTTTATCAAAGATATGTGTTCAAGAGAGGTGAAGTTCTTCTTTTTTACTTTAGAACTGGCACTTCTGTTTAAAAATACGGAGTGTTGTCAGCTACATATCCCTTATCAGGAAGTAAGGTATTACTGTGTATAATGCAAATATTGAGATAAGTATGGAAACCATAAAGAAATGGCCTTTCAGTTGAGACCAGCTGCTCTGGAAGGAGGACAGTGCTGGGTAGTGAAGGTGCTTACCTGTACCATCTGTCTCTGTCTGAACCTGATAGCATTTAACAAATCTCCTTCCCTTCAGTTACCCTAACGGCTGCTGTTGAAATTGCTTCTGTGCAGGAATTTAGCATGGCTGTTGATGTGTGCTACGTGGTGCTAGATGTCGTATGGGCATAAATTGGGAAGGGAGAAAGAAAAAGGCTCTCCCTTTTAATAAAGTTGCAGTAAAGTTGAAAGAGCTACTGATTGTTTTCTTTTCACCCTACTTTTATTTCTGCAACTTAAAAGGATTTTGTTTTTGAGAACGATGTGGATATTTTCTCTGCAAATTTTCTGCTGCTAGTCCTTGAAACACCAACACTGTGCACATGTGTGCACACGTTTATGTTTGCACAAATGTGGATCAGGTCCTTGATTTCAAGGTTCATGAAATAAAGAATTGGCACACATATCCCCATGTTATTCACTTAAGCTTATGGGTCGCTACCATTTGTTGCCTGAATTACTTTGCTGATGAATTGAGAGGAAAATGTTTTCTTAGTGAAGGCAGATATTGTAGTTTGGATTTATTGCAATATTAAAGCTTTTTAAAAAAGCATATGCTCTACTCTGTGTGTTATATTACATTAGCTAGCTACTCTGTATCACTTGAAAGCACTTAATAATCTATAGTTTCTAAATTTTCCCATGATGTGTAGTCAAGATAAAATGCAGTAATATTGATGTGATATTCTGAACTTATAATGATCAGCGTATTGCATTAGAAGTAGTGTGACCTGTTTGTAGTAAGGGAATGTAAACAACACGTTTATTTGTAGTATTTGTAATGACTTTTTTTTTTGTAAGGAAAACATTTGTTTTAATCTGAAGTAAGGAAACTTTGGGACCTAGGAAAAGCAGTGGGAAATCAGACATTGGGTAATAGGAGAAAAGTTGAGCTAAAATTTAGTTTTGTAAGAAAAGAATCTCAGATGCTCCCTTCAGCTGAGTTTCCCCTTTTCTGTTCTGTGGTGGTTCAGGTGACTTGTCACGCAGTTTCTGCTGAGTGCACGAGAATCCAGCCAGAGCCCCTTAGCCCAGGGAGAAATCTGTGTTACTTGACTGTTCTCAATTTATCCCATTTGTGTCAATTTGGTCATGGTCAAAAGTGGATGGAAGAGTTCAGTGCTGCTCTCTTAAGAGATCTGCAATGACATTTGTTTTGACTTGCTGTGTATTGAAAGTGTTCTTGCAGTTGAAAATATGAGCTTGTGTTTTGGAGAAGTAGACTCTAGTTTACTTCTTGACTCTTACTCTGTGTCCATTTTCTTCATCAGTGAAGTGATGTTGCATCAGCTTCCCATAATGAACAGCGTGTGATTCTGTGAAAGAAGGCAGTGTAACTTTGGTGCTTCAAAGAACTGGGGATCAGCATCTGTGATTAGCAACAGAAAAGGACCATAAAAATCAGAAATGAATTCTTCATAATATTTCTTTTCATTGTGCTCAGGATGGTGTGTTTTTCATCTTTAGAATAATATTTTGTATTGGGCTGTAACTCCAGAGGCCCATACCCATTGAACATCTGTGGGGAAAAAAGGATTCTCTCCTTTTGTGGCATAATTCTAAAATTTAAGATGTATCAGTATGGGGAAGTTAATGCTAGTACAGGTACTGAGAGTGTAGTAGTCAATTGTAATTAACTCTTGGCTTTACTGTCCTTATTCTGGAATAAGTGTGGAATTTAATTTAAAAATAAGAATCTTCACTTCTTTGGAAGAAAGCTCTTTTAGTCTAGAATATCCACAGGATTAAAGCCACACGAGAAAGAAAGCTCTGCTCTAAAGAAGCCTAAGGTATTTGTTTTTAGATTTTACTTTCCATTCATGTTATCTTATTTTTAAACGTACATTATTGGAACATACAGCACTAGGAAATCGCAGTCAGACTGGAAAGGCATTTCCATTCAGTAGGTTTCACTGAGAGATGCTATGAAAACGTTTCACTATCTGGTTTGTGTGGAAAGGCCCGAGTTTGGTTTTTTTGTTTTTCCTTTTTAAAGAACAGTTATCTTGAAGGTCTGCCTTTCTGAAGGGATGTAAAACTAAATTGCAAGAACAGATTTTGATTTTTACACAAATTCTCTCGATTTAGCATAATTTTAACTTCATCTGGATGCTTGCCTGGGATCTTAAAACATTTAAAAAATGCATGTAATTATGCTGATAGTTCCTCACGTGGCTGCCATTATATCATTGTAAAAGTTTCTCAATGCTGATAGAAGTATTAATCTGAAAGGAATAAATTCTAAAGTGTGGCACCCTTATAGTGATGTATTGGGCATTCAAATGCCATTAACTGTAATAAACTTCAGCGTGAGGGATGTCCTACCTAAAGAAACAATGTCTGAGCCATCCTTCCTTGTTGCTCTTGCAACAGCAACCTCAGCCTAGTCCTGTGAGGTGCTGAGTGTCTTCCAGCTTGTGTGGCAGCTGCCCGAGGGGGCAGCCCCCTGCACATCCCTGTGCTCAGCGTGTGTGTGCATCTCTGCATCTGGGGAGGTCTGGGGCTACCACCTTCCTTTCCCTGACCCTGGAGTGTGACTCATCTGTAGTTCTCCTTGGCCATGCTCATGCTAAGCTCCATAAAATGATGAGCAAGATTTTTCCAACGTGCCACAATGCTTTTCACAGCAACGGCTGTGTGACTATATGCTAATCACTGTCCTCTGCTGGGAAGCTGGTGTGGCTTTTGCCACCAAAGCTATTTTAGTGCAGCTTCTGCATTTTTTTTGACAGTCAAAATGAAGATTTCAACTTCATTGCAATCTGGTTTTCTGCCTGTTTTAGAGCAGACAGCGTGGTGTGTTTGTATTTAATAATTTTTGTAGTTTAAAGCCTGAGTCAGTGAAGGCCAAGCTTCCTGCGTGCATCGTGCTATTGAGTATGTGACTGTGTATGGCAAGGGACTCTGTGATTCCCATCTCACCTCTCCACTGTCTCTTATGCATGGACAGAAATAAGAGAATGTTGGGTGCTGGCTGGATGCTGGGGAAAACAACTTTTTGTACCTCGGTACAATCTCGGCTGAACTGTAGTGATAAACAGTTGCTGGCTGTGGTTGGGCAATGTGAAGTAGATTTAGCATCTCTATCTGCTTCCCAACAGACAAAAAAGTGAGGCTACTGTGAAAAGCCTCCCGTGGTGATCCCAGAAAAGGATGTGGGTTAGCCATGAGACAAATCCTGCCCTCTAAGACAAAACTAAGGCATGCAGTAGACTATTGTATTCTCCCTTGTGCTGCTTTTACGGATGCTTCAGGACACTCTGGTCAGTCCAGCTCTTCTGACCAGAGGAAATTCATAGAATCACAGAATAGTTTGGGTTGGAAGGGACTATTAAAGGCCATCTAGTCCAACCCCCCTGCAGTGAGCAGGGACTTCTCTAGCTAGGTCAGGTTGCTCAGAGCCCTGTCCAACCTGGCCTTGAATGTTTCCAAGGATGGAGCATCTACCAGCTCTCTGGGAAACCTGTTCCAGTGTCTCACCACCCTCGCTGTAAAAGATGTCGTCTTTAGTCTAAACCTACCCTCTTGTAGTTTAACACTGTTACTACTTGTCCTAGCTTAACAGGCCCTACTAAAAGGATTGCCCCCACCCTTCCTGTAGGCCCCCCTCAGGTATTGGAAGGCCACTATAAGGTCTTCCCAGAGCCTTCTCTTCCCCAGGCTGAGAGAACTCTTCCCAACTTTTTCAGTCTGTCCTCACAGAGGAGGTGCTCCAGCCCCCTGATCATTCTCTAAATGTGTTTTGCTTTACAGTCTGTCACTGTCCAGTTTCAGTCCAGTATACAAGAATCCTAACCATAATGCCTGCAAGTCTTGAAAATGCCTATGTATGCACAGAAAAGGCAAATTATGCATGAAATGTGTAGTGTTGCTGTGTTTGAACAATGCAATCTGTAGGTGGCTAAAGGGCTAACTAAATTGCAGGCATAATGAAAGCTCTGTGGTATTTAGTATATGTTCTGTCAGCATTAAACAGTCACCTTGTAAATATATGTTAATTTTGAAGGTATAACTGACCTTTTTAATATTAATTGAAGTGTCTTGTGTTTAGAGGTTGGCGCTATCCTAGAAGAGACAGAAGCCTGTGACTGGTGGAGCCTGGGTGCCATTCTTTTTGAACTCCTCACTGGGAAGGTAGGGCTTGGGGGCAAGTGACTTGATAAAACTGACCTCTTGGCCAGTGGTTTCTAACAAGTGGTGTGCCTGGTTGCGATTTCCTTGCTTGTCTTTCTTAGATGCGCTTTGCCAACCTGAGTACCCTCAATTAGCTTGGTCTGCATGGGACCAGAGAAATGAAACATGCTCAAGCTTCAGCAGAACAACTTGATAAAGGCATATCAAACTCGGGACCATAAAAATAACCAAAAAACATGCTGCTCTCTTAACACAGTGAAATCAAAGCTCTCTAACATTCCTTCTGTACATTTACAAAATTTTTGCCCTGATAGTTTCAGTATTATTTCCCGGGTCAGTGTGGAAGCCATATGTTGCTGTTACACATGAATTCAGTATTTTGAGACAAGAGTCTCAAAAAAATCAGTCTCAAATCAAACCGGTGATTAGTTGACAGTTCTGCACGAAGAAAGCAAAGTCCACCAAATTCCCAGACTATTCAAGTTTGAGTGATAAAGCACAAGCACTAAGACATAAATGTTCTAAAACCGTCCCTCCAGAGACCCAGAATCAGTACTTCATACTAGGAAGCACTGACATTTTAGCTGTGTATCTTAATTTGCCTGTATGCTAGAAGACAATCCAGCACCACAGTTTTTTGTTTAATGAATGTATCTGCCTGCTTTAATTTGTTTTTTTTCCCTGCCTCTTCTCCAGACTCTGGTTGAGTGCCATCCGTCGGGAATAAACACTCACACTTCTTTGAGTATACCAGACCACGTATCAAAGGAGGCCAGATCATTGATTCAGCAGGTAATTGAGGGAGACGTGTAGATTGGACAAATACTAAGTTTACTCTTAGCTTTAGGTAGTCATGACTGAGGGAATAAACTTGTAGCACAGGGTCTTGAATTTCAGCTAATGTTGTCTTCCTTCTAGTCAATTTTGACCTAACTGCGCAAGTGGAGCCTAGATCTGACCTGTTCTACTTGAGTAGAATAAGTGATATATGTGAACTGTGTTGTTCGTCTTTGAAGAGTGTCTTGCTAGTGGATGCATAAATAGTGACATCACTTAGATGTAGATTTGAACAGAGCAGAGTGCAAAAAGTAGTTCTCAAAGAAAACGAAGGAAAGGGATTTTGAATATTCATTGAGTCAAAGACCCAGTGCCAGATTGATTTCTGTGCCTTTACTGTCAAACGATTAATGGACATGGAACTAGACGTTTGGATCGCCTGTTTGACTAGGTGACATGAAGGTGAAAGCATGTGTCTGTGTGTTTCTGGCAAAGGTAGAAAGGGAAGTGACTGATAAATACTCCAATTTTTGTATAACCTGTGTATATTGCTAGATGGTAGCAAATTGTTACCCTCGCCCACAGGTGCTACGGGACTCAAATGGCTAAAGGAAGGCAAACCCACACTTGATGAAGGGAATTCCTCCCATTAAGACTAGAAGTGAAGACAAGCAAAGTTGTCCAGTGCAGTTCTCCCTGCCAACGTAGGGTTGTTCTTCACTGCAGACTAATGTATTGCCTGTTTTCAAATATGCCGAAGAGTGGCTCTTTTGCCACTTGCGGTTTAAGTGGCAAATATATCTCTGCCACTTGTAGATATATTACGAGGCCATAGGTCTGTTCAGAGAACAGCCACCCCAGTGCCTGTTAGGTTAAGCCTTCTAGCATAGGGTGGTGACTTGTCTGGTGGAGGTTCAGCTATATGAGCTTGTAAATCACGGTTTTGTTGTGTGACTATCCAAGGAAGCTGCCATTCATTGTTGAGGAAGCCTTGTCAGGAAAAGGAAGAAAGCTCTCTTGGCATGGATAGCAATTTGTCATTGCGACTTTCCTTCCCCACACTGCCAAGGGTAAACAGGTCAAAGCATCACAGAATAACTCTCTGAGATTCAATATTCAGCTCTACAGAAGACTCTGTTGTCTCCTGCTGTGGCTTCCAGTGCAGGTGACTTCCTTGTAAACATCTCCTTCATTTAGCCAGCTTCTAAGAAAACAGAGATCTGTTTATTTCTGGTGCTGTCATTATTTTTATGTTGGTTTGGTATTTTGCACCCAGTAGTTTTTTTTGAGGCACCTTCAGGCTTTACTACCAACAAAATACACAACATGACATTTCAATAGGTATCTGTTGCAGTCTGTGGTGCATCTGCTTTCTAAGATTAAAGTTCTGGAAGGACAAACTCCAGAAAATAAGAGTCCGTGCTTACTTTCCCCCTGCTGGTGCTGGTTGTATTTCAGCAGAAGGCAGAGAGACCCCGGCTGCTGGCTTGTGAAGGTATCAGAGCAGCACTATGCACTGTCATCGAGCTACCTTTAGTATGTGACATTGTGACTGCAAGTAGCAGAGCCACCTTAAAATGTGTAAATTCCTACATTTATGGATGTAGACTCACTTCGATGTTGAGTGCATTAAAATACGAATGCACGTTGTTCCAGGTGACAACTGGGAGAAGTTATCCTATTAGCTGTTGCAGAAAAAGCAAGCAAGAAATCATGCCTTTGTACTGGCTGTAATTGAATAGAGTATAAACAGTTCTCTAAAACTGCAAAATATTTTTGTGTGTCTTTATTAGTCTCTTTGGAGTACTACCGTTGCATTCCCTTTCATATGGATTGGTATCTTTAAACAGATGTAAATATTGTGATTTCCTTTTCACATGAATTCAGCATGTGATGTACAACTAAAAAGCAAACAAGGTGCCGAATTTTAGGAAATTTCCGTGAAGCTGTATACTGTTTTTTTGCTTTCACTGGAGTTTTGATTTTTCAGGTTTACTCCATTTGTAGGACTCTAAAACTTTTTTTTTTTTTCCATAGGGAATAGAGAACTGGCAGTAATATCTTGGTGTTTTAGGACCAACTCACGATTTATGAAACAGAAAGTTACAGACCACTGTCCCTAATGTAGCCATAACGCAGTGGTGTGAGCAAAGGTTAACGTGAAGCAGACGCAGTGTCCAGAGTTCTACCGATGCAGGCTCTGGCTGCTGTGCTCTTTTTTTTTTTTTTTTTAAAATGAGGTTACACTTAAAATGAAGTCCCAATGTGCAGTACTTCAGGGAATTGCATGCTGTGATCAGTCGTCTCTGAAGACTGTAACACTGAGACTCAAGGAAAGGGGAGTCTTCTTCCATTTACTGGATTTTTGGAATTTCAACTATGCTTTCACACTCTTGAAAGTAATTCGTAGAGCAGGAAAACGGTGGGATGTCCCTTACCTTAGACCTTTCTGGAACTTTTAAGCAGTTGTTTTTGTTCTTACTCACTGAATCATATATATATTTCTTTTTTTATATCAAGCTTTTGCAGTTTAATCCTGCGGAGCGTCTTGGTGCTGGTGTTGCTGGTGTCGAAGACATCAAATCTCATCCATTTTTCGCCCTTATAGAATGGGCAGATCTGCTGAGATGAGAGCTGCGTGCCCTCTGAACAAACTCAGGTCAAGTGGACAAGTTTCTCTGACATAGAAGCACCCTGACTTGCTTCCTTTGGATATCCCAATCGATTTGGATGTGGTGACTAAAGGACCAAAAGTGAACACTTTTAACAGGGAACACTGGTTGTACAGGGTGCTAGCTTATTTTTACAGCAACTGGTTGCTACGTGTGTGTAAGCCTTTTCACCAAAGGGTGGTTTGTGATGAAATTCCTGGGCAGCATGTTTAGTGCTGCCAGCTTGTTGACTAGAAACAGGACTGTGCTCCTGGTGCTTTGTCTGATGATGGAAGTGTCTATAGACTGTGCCGGTTGAAAGTGTCTTTTATAGTGTCAATAGACCATTTCCCTATGCTAAGTGCAGCTCTGGGGGGGCAGGGGGGAGGAAGGAGCAAATAATTTATTAATGGTATATGCTGAATAAAATACTAAAATGCTTTATGCAAAAGTTGACACATTAAAAACAATATATCCATTAAAAATTAAGAAAGCTGTTGCATAATACTGTGGAATATGTCTTGAAAATGGCATATCATTTCCCACTGTGGAAAGAGCATATAAAAGGCAAATAATGCTGTCAAGTGTTGTACTTTGTTGGCTGGCAATGTCTGTTTCAAACTCTTGACTCCGTTGTATTTGAGCTACGTGTTGAAGTCACTACAGAAAGGGAAATCTTCTTTTTCTCAGCTGGATAAACACTGCTTTAGCACTCTAATAAGGAGCAAGAAAACATAATGCTAAATAAGTGTATAGATTAGAAAAGGAAAAAACTCTTCTCTCATCACTGCAGCCACCACTTTATCACTTAATGAACTTTACTTCCTCTAAGTGTCCTATTTTTAGCTGCTACTTCAGGAAAAAAACCTCTCTGCTCGTGCTCTTCTGCTTGAGGAAGCTTCTGAACTCTTCTGTTTGTTTGTTAATAGTCTTAATAAATCAAAGAAAGCCTTCACCCACTCTGCTGCTCGAACAGGAAGAAGCCTGGGATTTGCTCATGCCAAATGACTAAGTGACATCTCTGAGCAAACCCTAGTGGGTAAGACTTGGGCATGAGCCAATTAGCTGACCTGTTTGTTTGTTAGAAAGGTCTGGAGAATGGGAGAAGAATATAAGACATGCAGAATATTTTGCTGTGCACTGCTATTGCTGCTAAGCAGCCACGCTTGTATGGGTTTCTGACGTACAAGTGCTGTACGCTGCGATGCTTGTACAGATTATGGATCTGTGGGGTTTTTCCTAAATGTTCCCTTCGCTCTCGCTCTTTTTTTTTTTTCCTTTTTTCCTTTTTCTTCTTCTCCCCAGCTTTATCCGGAGAACAAAGGGCAAATTCCTTTGGGAAAGTGAGGTGACAGCAATGATTATTGAATTTACAACTCAAAAAAAAAAGAGTGCCCCTCCATTTGTATTTTAGCAGTGTATTTTATGGGCACTCCCAAAAGTGCATCTGCACAGTCTCCATCTGTTAGACACCAGGTCGGTGTATTCAAATAAAGTGGAAAAGGAAAATGCTTCACTTAAACAAAGGAAATCTGGAAACTTTTTTTTTCCTTTTTAAATTATTCCACTCCCCTCTTTTTTTTTTTCTTTCTTCCCTTTCTTGTGATCACCAGGCCAGCAGAGGGGCTGTAACAACACCGCAGGTTGTAACCAGGTCACTAGTATCACTGCCTACGGAGTGCTGTCCAAGATTACATCACTCTCAGAAACTGTGCTTCAACCCACCACCCTCTGGCTTCATAACAGGAACTCCCTCAGGTGAGCCACAGGAACAACTTCCTGCGCCGAGCGGGTCGGAAATCTCTGATGCGGAGACCAAGCTGATCCAGAGCTTCCTTCCAGCACTGCCCTGGCTGTGACTTTGGAGAGGGCTCGTTGCTCAAGGGAAGCCTCCCTTCCCTCGGCCACCTGACTCCATCCCTGGGGCTCTCTAGCCCAGCCACCAGATAATGTCGTTGCCCGTGTTGATCTGTCCCGTTGCATTTGCCTGGTGATAACTGTAAAAAAAAAAAAATAATTTTCCATGTTACTTTAAAACGCTCCCTTGTTCAGGTGGTTGTGCCTGCGTGCTGGTTGCAAGTAAAGGCAGGATAAGATAGCGCAGGAGCACAAGCTGGTTTCTGAGCAGCAGCAGGAAAACGCTGCTCTAGCAGAAACCAGATGACCAGTCACTCTCACTGCAAAGCATTCGGTTTAGTTAATGACACAGAAATATTTATTTTTCAAGTATGTTAGTAATGAGGAAATCTAGATCATGGAGACTAGAAGGATGGGGCACTTGGCAAGACGGCTTGCCAGAAGTCAGCCTTTGAGATGCTTAAAGTTTTCATAACCTTACCAGTGACTCATGTAATGGTTTTGCTAAAGGAAGCACAGTCTGGAGTTAATTGCACAAAAAAATCCTGCTTTTTTTTTTTTCCCTGTAACATGTATTATGTTGTATTGGTGTTTACATGTATTCCTTTAATAAACAAAACCTTTCAAGCCTAATTCAGACCTTGGGTTTCTGAACTTTACATTTAGTTCTTGAAGACAATCCTTCCTACCTAATCAATGGTTTTTGTCCTTGGCTTTTATGACTTGAAGTCTGGATATCTTGGTTTGGGTGCCTCTTAGGAAGCCCTGTGGTGCACATCTCCATTTTGCTGACTGCTAAATAGTGCAAAGTCCATTCCACCTTCCTTCTGTTACACCTAATGGCTGATAACAAAACAAATCAGTGCCATTTTGTTCACAGGAATTAGTGAGAGTCTGTGTAAAACACAGTAAAATAAACCTATAGATTTTCCTGTTCTCCTGTGGGTGTTCAGGTAAGGTAGGTGACACACTTAGGACATCTCAGAGTGGTAGTTCATTGCACCCTGTTGAACCACTCGTTAATGTTTTCTGTGTCCTACTAAGAAAAACTAGGAGACAAAACGTTTGAAGGCTTATGCTGGGTAGAATTGCTGTGAGGTGAGCTGGGGCCTCTGCCCAGACCTACGGAAGAAATTGTATCTCATGAAATACAAGGGGCATAACTTCGTTCGCTTTTAATGGCTGTATTCACAGCTTCTATGCTTGTAGCACAGCTCCTCTATCTCCTGTGAAAATCACCTCTCAGACAGCAGTCACTGTCACGCTGACTCTCCGCGCACCTTTGGGATGCTGAGTCGGCAGGGTTACCTGCACTGGAACATCCACCCGGCTCTTCTCTCCAGTGCTAAACCTGTTCCTTGGTGCGTCCCCGCAGCGAAGGGCACTGGGATGAAGAAGGCTGGGGAGGTCAGCCTTCTCTAAATGAAGCACTCAGCATAACAAGGTACAGGGAAGTGCGAAGTAAACCACTACGGGATTTTTTTTTTTTTTTTTTGAGTGTGGTGTCATTTGTTTTCTCAAGGACACTGACTAGGAAGCTGGAGAAACACAAACTTCCTCTCTGGTGAGATTTATGGTAGGGATTTTAGCAATAAAAAGAAAAGTACTTTTGTTGATTTCTTTGGGTGGGCTTTGCTGTGAGCTGAACTCTGTGGTTCCTGGCTGCTGTCTGGCCCCATGCTCCGCAGGAGGGGACTTTTACCTGGGCCCCAGCCCATGCCGGCGAGCCGGCCTGCGGCCCCGTCTGCCCATGGCTAAGCACCCCACAGTCCTCTTCCAGGCAGCAGCGCCTGCGGCTGAAGAGCACCTCTCGCAGCTGGCCCTCAGCTCTGCGTGCCTTCTGAGCCACACGTAGCTTTCAAATCAGGGCCCCGCAGCTTTTTGCAGGGTCTGAGAAGTGGCGTGGACAGGGTTTCTTTGTCTGCAGCAGCGGCCAGTTCAAAGCTCCCCCTTCCCTCGCCTCAACGGCTTGTTGCCTCAGGACAGCCTGTCCTCGCGGCACGGTGTCCTCAGGGTGCAGTCAGAGATGCCACTCGAGAGGCCCTTCGCGTGACCAGTGCCTCTTGTTTCCTTCTGCCATGCCTCTGCCTAGCAGCCCGTGAGGGTGTCGCACCACGGCGCTGCAGGAGGACAGGCGCCTGGGCAAGGGCTGGGGCGCAGCTCCTGCTTACGTGGGCGTGTGTGGGGGCGAGATGGGGGAGCGAGGGCCTTCGCTGAACGGCAGCGGGGCCGCTCTCTGCCACAGCAGGGGCATGGGGTGTGCGTGAGGGGCTCGGGCAGCCCCCAGGACAGGGTGCCTTGTGCGGCTCCAGCTGCAGTTTGGGAAAGGGTGGCAGAGCCAACTCCCAGAGGGGGAATGGGACTTGCTTAAAAGGTGCCGAGCAGCGGCTGCTGGCAGCAGTGGTTTAGACTGGCAGCGCGTGGCCATCTCCTGGGCCGCGGGGCCGGTGGAGGGCTGGTTGCTGCCTGAGCCATCTGCAGGAGCAGAGACAGGGAGCCCTGGCCCGAAGGTGAGTTGTCTTCAAGAAAATTCCAGCTTCTGGAATTTTTGGTGGCAAAGCGGTGGAAGTGGTCCCACCTCCTGCTAGTGCCGTGCGGTGAGATCTCCTGCCTCCCTGCTGCTGGGCAGAAGCAGCTAATCGGGGCGCAGCAGAGAGGATGCTCCAGACTCCCGGCAGTGGGTGATGGCTTAACATGCTGCCCCAACAGGACCTCACCGCCTCTTGGCACACCAGAGGCTCTCCTCCTCCAAAGGCAGCTCTGTCTCCATCTTCAAAGCCCAGGGACCCATCAGGAGGGATTAGAGCTGCTGCCGGAGGGCTGCAGTGGCACCGTGGTGGGCAGGAGGGCTGGGGAAGTGTGCAACGCCGGGCAGTGGGGAATTAGTGTCCGCTTGGGAAGACTGCGGGCGGTGGCCTTGATGCTTTGCTGCTGAGATCCTAAGGTTGGCAAGTTCGGGAAAAGTCCTTCTGGGGGCAATAAGCTAGACAAGCCAATTGGCAAGTGGTGGAGCTGGATAACGATGGAAAGAGCAGATGTTGTGGGGGTCAGCAGTCCTCCTCAGCAAAGCCTTGCTAACTGTGTTTTGCTTTGCCTTGGAGACAGTGCTGTTCTGCCTCGGTACAACCTCACCTCTATCAGTTTCTCCCATCCCCTTCCCTGAGCTGAGCCATTTATCCCCAGGGTATTTTCTAGGTTTGCCCAGCTGTCTCCATCCATGTCCTGCATTACATCCTTCAGCCCTGGTCACGGTTTTTCTTACCCTTTCTGTGTCTTCGGTTCTGAAATGTTGCCCCAAAATGCTGTGACCCAGGAGTGGATTATTAGTTGCAGCTGTTATCCCCATGTACTGGTGAAAACAAAGAGAGAGGATTACTCCCACAAAATGAAAGCGCAGGGGTTGTAAAAGCGTTAGGAAATTGCTTACCCCAGCAGCGTGCGAGTAACGAGAGTTTTATGGTACCTCGCGCAGTGGTGGGATAACGAGGAAGGAGCCTCCACGAGAGGGACCAGTGCTGTG